TGCCATACTGCAGAATATTCCAGAGAAGAAAAAAAAAAGATCTACATGGTCTCAAGCAGGTTTCGGACTCTCTACCAGAAAAGTTACACAGTGCACCTTTAAAGTAAAATATTCAAGAAAAGTATGAGCCATATGTGAGTGTAGGCAGATAATGCTTGACTAATAAGAGTTTCCACCAGAGAAGCAGGCTCTAATTCCATGTTGAATAAGCAGCCTCCCTCCTCCAGTCAGCAGCACAGAGCACAGCGGACGTCACCTCTCACCCTGAGGCCCAGCGCGGGAGCCTTACAACAGCTAATGTTCTGGAGCTCTGTTAGAATCACACGGGGCTAACACAGGGACCAATTTCAGCCCAGTGCAGGTGAACTCATGTCAGACTATATCAAGACCTGTGCCTCTGAAAGGTTGGGAAAATGTAGTCTAATATTGCTAGCTTAGACACACACACACCCCTTTTCTTTGTCTGACATTAAAAATAAACTCTATCCCTCTCTCTTAATGGTGCATTGTGTAACTGTTCTGGTGGAGGCTCCGTCAAATGCTTCTCTCCATGGAGATGTTATTGCTTTGTATGGAATGTTTCACAGTACAGTATTAAACCTTTCTTCATGGAGACCAAACCAGATTAAGTTACAGGTCAGATCTGTGGAGAGGCTATCCCACTGACAGTCAGAATGCCTGTTTTTCTAGGCATTTTTGAGCTGTAAATCCACCTGTAATTCAATAAATATAAAGACAGATCTGTTTAATCTCATACTGTGGAACATTACACACAGAGCAGTTACATATCCATAGAAACAAACAGGAGAAAAAGTTACACAGTGCACCCTTAAGTACACACAGGACAAGTTCTCTCTCAGTTAATTCAGCTATTTTCAGCTTGTCCAGGTAGCTGTAATGGCAATAAACTTGGCAAATATTGCAGTATCTGTGAAAGCACTGACTGCAATAAAAGTCAAGCAATAAGTGCTGGGCTATTCAATGTTTACTATAGAAACAAGGTTTGAAATAGCTTTATTTGATGGGTACACCAACTGGGTCACACTGACAGGGGTATAGAGCCAATTTCTGGGTACAAATCATCTTAGTGGGCCTATACTACATGTTGTCTATTGAAAAATGCACATTACAGACTTTGTGAAGGGTCCCTCTCTGCTCTGGGCTCTGGGTAAATAGTAGCCTTTACACCATTAGTACTACACTCCTGCACGCTCACATCAACTAGCAGCAAATCAGCAAACCAGGAGGTTTAAAATAAATAAATCCTTACCCTTTATTTCTCTATCTTACCTTTAACAAACAAGAGTCGAAATCTTTAAAGTATTGCCCTTCATAATCACAGAAAAAAAACAGGGACCAATTTTGTTGCGGCTCAGGTGTTCTGATTAAGAGTAGATCAGGCTTTGTGTTTGTGCCGCCAGAACAAGGAAGTAATAAAGCTGTAGGAAGCATTAAGTGATCAAGTCAGCAGCAAGAAAACCAATACTCCCACTCCCACAGGAGTGTGGAATACTACTGAAAGGGAAAACTGCATTATAGTTACACCTTCCAATTCAAGCTTATACCAGAACCAATACCAAAGTAATATACCAGAAACCACAGTGTAGACATCCACCTCTCATTGTCTTTTCCTATCAATACAATGACCAAGATAAGAGCTCTATTCCAAGGAAAGGTTGTACAACATGAAACAGTGACTAATAGCACAATTGTTGTTTTGGAGATATGCAAAATTTGAATACTGAAATAGCAATTTTTTTTTTCTACACTCAGGACACAGTAAATGTAGATGATAAACAATAATACTGAATGCTATTGCACCACTGACACAATAACCCCAAAGCAGGATTCCCACACAAAACTACAATATTTACAGTATTGTCAATGAACATGAGCCACAATAAATGAAACATTTAATGGGTTATAGAAGTTATTAAGTCAGCCCTCTTCAGCTCAAATTTTATCATAGTACAGAAAAATTACACTAAGTTCCTCTCTTGTACAAAGAAAACATACACAGAATAAATATTGACCTCTAAAAATGATTATTCCATTGATCATGTATTGTATAAGTCTACAAACACATCTTGTGCCATTCTTGAAAGTCATTTACAGGTACAGTTCTGATGGACTATGAAAGGCAGGAACAATGACATGACAATCACCAAAAGCGCATATCGTCACAGAGATCAAAAAACAATTAGATTTTTATCGCCACTTTTCTCAGGCTTGGAGATATTCATTTTTGTCATTATCGCCAACTCCAAATCCAGGGTCAGATTGACAGTAAATAAAGGAAAGACAGAACTAAAACTAAATCAAGGCTTGACCCAAACCACACTGAAACTGAACCAAGACCAAGTCAACAAAGTGGACCAGTCTAGGACCCACAGGACTCACGTCTAAAACAAGATCTGTCCAAAACAGGACAAAACCAAGACAAAACCAATAATGCAAATCAACGTTCGCCAGACCCATTTAAAACTCTACTTAAGAGAAGTTGAAATGAAATATGCCGTGATTCTTCAGCTGCATATTTTATATGCACTATAGATTAATTCTAGAAATACAATTGTAATCTATGTATTAATCTATGATCTTGGCTAGGGATGTAACGATATCAAATTTCACTGTTACGATTATTGTGAGAAGATGATTTAATGAATATTTGCAATTATTGACACATAACAAAACAAAAGTGAAATCCTTCATTTTCTTTCATTCTAATCCATTATCACTCCTCTCACATATGGCTAGCATTACAAAATCAAACTTTCTTAATGCAAAAGTTAAGTAATAGTGATATAAACAGTCTCATAAAAAGCACTACACATTTTAAGTTTACGTTTGTGGAGTCAATATTGAAATGATTTTGCTCTTACAATTATATTGTGACCTGAATAATCACGATTATTGATTAACGTAATTATCTTGATGTTCCTCCTTTTAAACCGGTCTAAATGAAAAAGATTCATCTCAAGGAACTTCCTGGTAAAATAAAGGTTAATCATTAAATAACATAAAAAGTAAATACAACCACTAACAAAACCAAAATTTAAACCAGAATTAAACTAGGGATGTAACAATAATCGAAATATCATGATATAGTATCATCAGAGGTCTCACAATACATGACACATCTCACATGATCCTTTAGTCCATTTCAGTGCAGTCTACATGAAGACTGTTATAAGCACTTTAAATCTTAGTCCTATCGATTACATCTTGCACATCACATTTTAAGAGGCAAAGCTTCTATACTCACAATTTGTTTAGTCCGAACAAAATACTGGAAAAAATATCATACTGTAAGATGTATATCGTGAAAATATTGGATATTGTTGCATCCCTAAATCAAACAATGCTCAAACCAGGACTAGACTAACAAAATAAACCTCAGCATTTCATAACTCCTGTGCCGGCCTTTGCTTCACCTCTGCCCTGTGCTCTCCAGCCCTGAGACCCTGAGGCCATGTGGGCTGTAGTGAGTAAGCAACTGTCCTCACTCACCCAAACTTGGCCGAACAGGCAAAACTAGACTTTTACACGTGGTTACCCTTTGTCTCCCTAACCACCACTGCTCAAGCTCTCTTCTGTAAAGAGAAAGAACTCAACAACAAATCATATTTCACAACAACAATGCTGCACAACTGAATGCAGAGATTTAAATAGGGGAAAAAATAGCCTATGTCAACACAGCTTACTCCGTGGTACGCTAAAGTGCACTGAACACAATGCTTCAGGTTAATAAGCATGCATGGGTAGGCTGCGCGCTCACTCGCTCGCTCGCACACACCCATGCACAGGTCGATACAGTCCAACATGTCAGCGGTAACAGCGTTGTCATGGAAACAGGTCCGGCTACCTAATGTACCATAACTGTATCATGTCACCGGCAGCAAATTGGACTTAGAGGATATGAGAGGATAGACTTATAGGCAGGTTGGTGACACTCAAGATAGAATCATCACAGTGGTACACAAAAGGTTAGTATGGGAGACATCAAGCAAACTATAGTGGGTTTGGTTGTGTCATTTGGCATATTGCAATGAATGGGAGACAGCATTGTGCCAGAGAGGAATAGCAAAGAGGGGAGCAGTCCATCTTGACTAAATTAATCACACAAGCTGTGCATAGGTCTCCAGGGTCTGTGTGCATATTAAGTTTAAAGACACAGGCCACAGAACTATAAGGTTCAAAACAAATGTTCAATGAATGGTATTATTACAATGTCAATAACAGCATAATATGATATCTGTGTAATGAATGATGTGTTTATATTAAGATAAATTAAAATCTTTTTCACCTGATTGATATGGTATTAAACATATATCTAGCATTTATTTCACGATAGAAGTTTATATTGCTAAAAAATACTGAGAAAAAAATGCTTTCTCACTGTGAGGGCAGTGTTACCTCTCCACAGATCTCACCTGTAACCTGGCCTGGTGAGATATGATTAAAACCACACTACGGGACTTTCAAGGCATACCAGTAACATGTATAAGTAGACAAGCAGGTGACCACTCACCAGAAAAGTTACAGATTTCATCTTTAAAATGCTATGGTAGAATATGTCGAGATGCCACTGTTTATAGTTCGTATCTTTGTTACTAATGGATCGATCAGCATGAAACAAAGACTGACTCAAAGCTCAACATCTACAATTATGGTGATTTTTAAACACACACAAAAATTTTGGATCAAGATTAGAAAACTGCAGTTCATGGAGACAATGACTACCAAAGAATGACCAGGCTAACTTGTGAATTTCCCATTTGTATTTCAGCTAACCTAACCTAACCTTATTCTCCAATGAGGTTCTGATTAATTCAATGCTAGAACCTTAACTGAACCACAAATCCACGCTTTGTAGGATCTGTGCACGCTTTCACCAACCTGAGACCACCCAAATGGCACGGAGAGGTGCACGTACCACCACGCAGCGTCTGGTTTACTCATTTCAACATTCCTACTTCTTACAAAACCGTGACCCTTACCCGTGGAGTGGTCTACTGGTCCACCGTTGTTCCTGAACAGGGCTGAGTGAAGATCGGGATAAGCCTTCTCCAGAGCCACGCACAGATCGGAGAAATGATCGCTCTCCTTGTTCATCAGCATCTTCAGAAGGTGGTCCACTTTCTCCGCGCTGGACGTGCAGTTTTGGTCCAACTCGAACCGGTCCAGCTGACTCAAGGTCCCGGAGACGATGAGCAGCTCGATGACTCGGTCCGCGTCTGTTATGGACTCCAATAAGTTCTGGTGGCACTGGTCGAGCAACTCTTTGTGCTTTGGCTCCATTGCTGCTGCTGCTGCTGCTGCTGCTGCTACTGTTGGCTGTAGTAGTTCCGTAGCTTCCCAGGCTAGCCACCACCACTCGGCCAGGCGGATGGGAAGATCTCCTCTCAAAAGTACCGAGCGTAGGATAAACTCAACTTACCGTGGCTCGCAGAAGTTCGCCGCGGCATTTTAGGCTGCGCACGGGAGCGAATTTCAGCGCATATTGGAAAAGGCACAAGAAGAAGCCATATTTGTTGCCCAAGGCTGTTGACTGCACTAAACAGCGATACATTTTCCCATTGTACGTAGTCTCGTGGTGCGCGGTTCAAGTCGTGTTCAGCTTCCCGTGCGCGTACGAAGGAGACGAAGGCATTTTGCTCCTCGCGTGGCGCATTTACGGCGTTTTCTGCCCGATCGAGCGCTGGGAAAAGTCGCCTGAACTCCTCCGTCGCTCTTCCCACTACACTGTATCCTCCGCCATGTCTGGGCACAACTCAGCAGCTGCTCCGCGCTGTCAATCAACGCCGGGTTCACTGACCGAATAAGGTAAAAGAGGGCGGGGTCTAGCGGAGGACACGCCCCTTTCTTCAATGGGCGGACACGGCGGCTCGTAGTACGTCCATGATCCCAAGTGGAAAATGAGAATGGATAGATTTGCATTTTATATAATTTTTTTTATGTCTTAAAGCCAAAACAAAACAAAACAATAACAAAACTGACATACATGTACACTTTGATGGATAATTATACATACGAGGAAATCAATACAAGAGATTGAGGATAAATGAAAATAAAATCCTAATTCTTCTGTAATATTGAGTGTTTTGGTTGATTTATTGTTAAAAATACTGTTTGGTGTTTGAAGATAATTCTTAATTTCTAGCATACTGATTTTAAATAGGGGTCTGGAATTGGAGAATTTGGATTTATGGATATGATTTTTTCCCAACAGACACTAGGGATGTAACAATAACCATAATATTGTGATATCATAACATCAGTGTTCACACAGTAATATCGAGGACCATCACAATATATCAAATTACAAGTCTCTTTGCTTAAATTAAGAGTTATGGTGCAACAATATCTTTAAAAAAAAAAGAGAGAGAGAACTACATAGACCATGATCCTTTTCTCCATTTCAGTTCAGACTACAAGAAGAAATAACAGTTCTAAGCATTTTTAAGTCTTATTTCTTAGGATTAAGTCTTAAAAAAGGTAGCATATTAACAGTTTATCCCCCACAAAATATTACAATAAATATCATACCGTGAGATGTATATTGCGAAAATATTGTATGGAGAGATTTGGATATTGTTACATCGTGAGCCTCCCCAACATATCATGAGCTTCTCCACGATATCGCAATAAATATCATATCGTGAGGTTCATACCGTGACAATATCATATCGTGAGACTTGGATATTGTTAGACCCCTGGAATGCACAGGTTTACTAAATATTCATTTTTATATTGTTTAGTGGGTTATTATGCTTGAGCAGTGATGGATGTTTTTTTTGCAGGATAAGTGTTTCTAGATTTGAGTATTTACAATAATAAAAGAGATGGGGGTATGTGTAAAAAGAAAAAAAAATTGATAGATTTGCTGTGTAACATTTGCAAATGTTACACAGTGGGTATGTACCAAAAATGGTACATAAACAAGCTGAAATTATTTTTATAGGATTGTATAAAGCATTTCTAGAAATAAGAAAGTTCAGTGTAGTGCAATCATTTCCTATACTTCTATTTTTTGTCTTTTCAATAGGCTAATAACATTTTAATACCTATATATTTTTCATTATTTACTGCGTTGTTATCTTCCCTTATGTTTTAGCTAGCTTAGCTTTACAGGATTTATTTACAATAAAAAAGTGGTGTAGCCTGTTTAATTGTTTTTTCACCATGCACAAATGATGCAATAATATATAATGTTGTTTCCTCAGTAAACATACCCAGAGTTGTGTTTTGTTTCATTCACACATGTTTCACACACAAATCCTGCATATCTATTCTGTGTTCTTCTCTCAAACTGAAAACACTGCTTGTTCCACCTTGTGATGTCATGTGGTCATACAGGAAGTGCTTCACTGTATTCTTAAACTTCATACACCTTCACTAGAATCATTTGGATAATTTCAGCCCTAATATTACCAATCTCTACTGAACAAAATATAATAAATGGCTGTTAAATTGAAAAATACATGTGTGAATGAAACAAAACACAACTCCAGGGATGTTTTTAAAGAGGTAACAACATTTTAATACGATCTATCTCTCTATCTCTCTATTTGTTTTTACTCGCTACGTGCCACAGAGAAGGCTATGTTATTTCCATGTATATCCCCGTAGTCATTTTTACCCATACACTATTTCCATCTCTTTATACCATTTCTATACAGTTGCAGCGTGAATGTAAAAACAGGTGGGCATTGAAGCAGACGTGAACATAAGCCAGTAGATGACATTTTCATTGTGAGCTATAGGCTTTGTGAATACAACCCGATGATGAAGATGGATGCACTCCTCCTCCTCCTGCAATCTATAGCCAGGCTCAGAGAACAGATCTTGGCACAGGCAGGCAGGCTGATGTAGCTACTATAGGCAAACCTCTCTCACTGTGACCTTATTCATAATGCTAGCAATCACGTTTACTCTGTCACTGCTCTGGCTCTGCTCCCTCTCTCCATTTGCCTCTCGCTTTCTCTCTCTCTCTCCCTCCCTTTGCTGTTCTTCCTCTCTCTTCTCTCTTTCTCCATCTCAGCCTCTCGCTACCCCCCTCTTGCTTTGTCTGTCTCTCTCTCCCTCTCTCTTTCCACCTATAACCCCACTCTCTCCCGCTCTCTCTCTCACTATCCCGCCTCTCTCTTCCTCTATCTCCTTTTCCCTCTCCCAACCCCCCCTCTCTCTTTCTCGCTCCCTCTTTCTGCATCTCCCCCCTTTCTCTCTCTCCCTAACTCCCTATCTCCTTCCCCCTTCTCTCTTTCCCTTTCTCTCCTTCTCTCTCCATGTCCCTCTCTCTCTTTCTCTCTCCCCTCTCCCCCTCTCTGTCTCTCTCTCTTTCCCCCTGTAAGCCCCCTCTTTCCCTCTCTCTCTTTCTCCCCTTTCTCTCTCTCTCCCTTCCTCGCTCTCTCTCTCTTTCCCCCTATCGCGCTCCCCTCTCTCTCTTACCCTATCTCCCTTTCCCTCTCCCTATCCCCCCTCTCTTTTTCTCGCTCCTTCTCTCTCTCCATCTCCCTCTCTCTCTCCCTCACTCCCTGTCTCCTTCCCCCTCTTTCTCCTTCCCCCCTTTCTCCTTCTCCCTTTCCCTTTTCTCCTTCTCTCTGCATGTCCCTCTCTCTCTTCTCTCTCTCCATCTCCCTCTCTCTCTCTCTCCCCTCTTTCTCTCTCTCCTCCTCTCTCTCTCTCCCTCTCTCTCTCCCCTCTCCTCTCTCTCCTCCTCTCTCCATCTCTCTGTCTCACTCCCTCTCTCTCTGTCTCTCTCTCTCTCTCTCTCTCTTTCTCACCCTCTCCCTCTCTCTCTTCCTCTCTCCATCTGTCTTTCTGTCTCTCTCTCCCCGCTCTCTCTCTCTCTCTCTCCCCTTTCTCCTCTCTCTCTCTCTCCCTCTCTTCCTCTACCTCTCTGTCTCTCTCTTTCTCTCTCTCCCCGCTCTCTCTCTCTCTCCCTGCTCTCCCCTTCTCCCTCTCTCTCTCTCTCTCTCCTCTCTCTCTCTCTCTGTCTCTTTGTCTCTCTCTCCCTCTCCCTCTCCCTCCCTCCCTCTTTCCCTTTCTCTCTCTCCGCAGTGCTGGCTCAGGCGAGTGTGTCCACGTGCTATTCCCTCAGATAAGATTTTAATTATAATTCATTCATATCAGAGTAATGCAAGTGGCCTATAGTGATGATGACACATTGGTCTCTTGTGTGTTTCTGAGGACAAGACCGCAGCATGAAAATGAAGAATGAAAAGTAAAGAGCAGATGCGAGGATGGTAGTTTAATTCCCAGCTATGCAAATTGTGTCCTTGGGCAAGACATTAACATTTTGTCTGTAGTGTTTTCACAAAACACAAAAGCTTGGTTTCAGTTTTAGTTACCAACGTGAATGCAATACAATGTAATTTTCAACACTATCACAGTGTGGTCTTGCACTTCTGATATAGATTCAGGAAAGATAAAGGTAGGCCTATTTTGTACGTATACCTAGGGGTGTGCAAAAATATCAAAATAGTCCTATATTGTATCATTTAATGTGATGATACAGTATCAATATCATGGGCTATAGTTTTGTTGATGTTTAGTGGAAGGAAACTCTTTTATGCAACACGTTTTGAGGATTAAACTGGGCTTGTTTGTATTAAACCATATAGAATTGCAAGTACACTGTATCGAGATATGCATCGACATATGTATTGAGATATGTATTTATACTAGCCCTGATCTTAATAGTCACCCCAACGCGTTTCGACTACTTAGTCTTCATCAGGGCTGATTAAGTGAGCAGCAGGTATGACCATTTATAGGGATCGTGATCCCAGACCCACAAACAAAATCTCCAAAAACATTTACATGTTGAATCCAAGTATATTGACAACATACCATTCATAACACAAAAGACAAATAACACTGTTCTGTATAAGTTGGAGTACAGTCCACAATACATACATCCCTTAGATTACACAGCACACTTCAAAACTAGTTTCAATCAAACACCATCAAGAAGAAGAAAGCACCAGAAATTTCGTATCAAAGGTAATGAGAAATACCCGGGTATTTGGTGGCCAATCTTGACAATTGGCAACAATGTGATAAAGACATGGCATGTTAAGGTTTTTTTGTGTGCGTGTTTTGTTTTTTAATTCACACGTTTGAGTAACCCTTTATGTTTAGTCTGTCTATATCTCTTAAAATGCTCTGTTCCACCTTGTGATATCATGTAGTGGTAGTTTTCAAGTTAACAGCTCCCTTTTACCTTTTGTACAGTTGAGATTGTCAACACCAGGGCTCAAAATAATTCGAGTGATAGTGTATGGATCTTAAAAACACAGTGGAGCACCTCCTGTATTACCACATGACATCACAAAGTGGAACAGAGTGTTTTTTGAGAGAAGAACTCAGCCAAAGCATGCAAGTGTAATGTGTTAAATGTGTGAGTGAAATAAAACACAAATCTGGGTATGTTTGTGATGAGGAAACAACATTACAACATGGATGGGAAAAAAGTGTATCGGACCTTTAGTATTGCAAGTATAAATGCAATTTTCAGTCAGAGCCAGAGGCCACTAAACGATTTGTTTTACAATCCTGACCCACTTAAAAGAAGTACTATTGTAGATTCATATCCAGTCTGTGAGAGTGGCTCATTTCCACAGGCCATAAGAAGATAGTGGTGACAGTGAGCGGTAGCTACATTTTACTGCAGTGTTGTTCTATAAAGCTTAATAGAGAATGTGACAGAATGGATCATTTATTCTTCACTTTCCGGGTGGGTTTAATTACATTTAATCAAAGCCGCCCTGAGCAGGACTGGGCCTCGTACGCGTGATTGCTGATTGCGAGGATATTGGAGCTGTGAACTGAAACGCTTCTCTTTGTATCTCCAAACGTCATCTGGTGATGTCTAAATGACTTTGTGAAGAGGCTTCTAATCAGGCCTAATCTTCATTAAAATTCAACTTATTGTAATCATAACATGGATCTCGGTCCCCCGCAGCTCTCCCTGTGCCACTTCCGCTCAGCTCCAGCCTGATCTGATGAGAGCCGAGTCCTCCAACATGGCCGCTGCCCCAGGGTCCCCCCGGGGCCCGACACAGCCGCAGACACAGCTAGTCTTGTTTAATGCGGCCACGGCAGCTTTATGGATGCCATCAATTCCGGGGGCTCTCCCTCTATTCACGTCTGTGTTATTGATTGTAGCGCGGTTAAGACACAGTGGAATGGGCATCCAGGCGAAGAGCGCGCGTTTACTCAGCCAAGTGTGTTTAAGAGCGTTTTAAATGGACCCAGGCAGGCTTAATAAGGCGTGAGGCTTCTATATGTAAAGACACGCACAGGTCATGCCCTCAAGGCGTTGTACTGTTTACTGTATTGATAAAATTCAGTCATTTTTCGTTCACATGGGTTTATTATTTGTTGGTGTGGCAACTCTTACATGTGTGTGCTCATGCATGTTACGTAATGGCAGCATTAAAGGAGATATTTAAGTCTAAAAAAAGACATGAAAAGCCTTGCATTACAATAAGAGGCATCTATGCTATAGAATACTATACAGTGTGACACGCTACCGCCCCCTGCAGGAAGTTTACAATAGGTCAGCTTCACAACTTACAGCTACATTAGATTAGCGCCATTGTACATTAGGCGTCAAAAATGAAACATTAGATAGTTGAAATTCATTGATTACAGAATAAATTGTATAAATAATATTAATTTAACTTGATTCAATGAGTTGACTTATGGATGGGTGGAGCTTTCAAATTTCAAGTGTTGAAACATGAATTAAATCCTCTACTGAATGTTACATAAAATAGAAATGACTAATCTTTTGTAATTCAGAATATAAAATATAATATATATATATGTATGTATATATATATATTTATTTATTTTTTTGCAGTTTTCGTAGTTAATAGTACAACTAAATCAACATTACAACTGATTTTTTTAAAAAAGACCCTCACTACCAGTACTACAACAATTCAATCAATTCAGTTCTTTTACATTTATTTTACTACCTGCTCCTCCAGTGCCATCCTGGTCCTGTAACTTTCGAACTCAGTGATTTAAAAATATCTGGCCATATTTCCTCAGCAGTGATAACATATATGCTTAAATTAAACATTACGTTATCCATAAAATGTGAAGATATGTTTTTATACATAAGCGTCCACAAACATTTATAGTAAACAAAAACAGAAAAGCAGAGCTGCATAGAGAAACATGCTAAATTTAGCACAATGGTAAGGTGACTGCTACTTACAATATTTCCATTAGTAAGTTACATTTCATTATAACTGCTAAAATACTACCTAAACATATGTAAAAATATGTACGTTGCGTGAAAATATATGGAAATTTCTCCTTTTAGAAATAGCTAAAATACAAAACAAGCACATTCATGGAGTAGATATGTGTGAGGCTATATCTTAAGCCTACTGTAGATAAAGATTGCATTGACAGCATTGGCACGGCATATTGCATATAGCATTTTCTTTGGTACAAGTGCAGAAAACAGAAAAAAAATATTATAGAACGTTCAGTCATTTCCTCCACACAGCTTCAGTAGCAGTTTCTTGTAGTCTCCAGAAGTGTCCCCCTGTTAACAGACAAGGAAGTTTCTATTATTACAATAAAACTGACTACAGCCTACTAGTAAGGCTGAATGTAAGAAGGGTTCAAACACAGCCCAGGAGAGATCGCTCAAACATACATGGATGATATCTAAAACCTCCTCAGGGCTGTTTTTGATGAGGGAACAACATTATAACAAGGTAGAAAGCAAAAAATAAAAAATAAATTTAGCACAATACCTCCTCTTTAAAGTTGAACTATGCAACTTTTTGATAAGGGCTCCGTCACCTGCTTGTTTCTATGGACATGTCATTGCTCTGCCTGGAATTTTCCACAGTACGACATTAAGCAGCTCTACCTTACATTTATGAAATTACACATGGCTTTATAGCTCAAAAATAGAAAAACAGGCATTCTACAGGCATTCTGACTGTGAGCAGGGATGCCTCTCCACAGATCTGACCTGTAACTTGGTCTGGGTTGGTCTCCATGAAGATAGAAAGGTTTAATACCACAATGTGAAACACACCAGACACAGCAATAACATTTCCACAGAGAAAAGCATTTGATGGATCCTCCAAGAGAAAAGTTACACAAAACACCTTTAATTTACAAACAATTATCCAAAGATACTTACAGAGATATGCGTGTAGAGTGACTTCCCATAGTTCTTGACATATTCCTTGCGGATGTCCAGCATGTCCACTTCCGAGCGGGAGACCATGATTCGGATCAGGGTTCGGTCCTTAGTCCCAGCTCCCTAAAAGAACAATGTACACAGTGGCTTATTATTAACAATCTTATTATTATATACAATATAATATATACAATTATAAATCGAGGCAAAATACAATGTAATACAATAGAAATCAGTAGGACTTACCTTCATGGCCTTGTAGAGCCTCTCAGCAAAGTAGGCAGGTGTGTTCTTAATGCACTTGACTGCATAAGAAAATATATGTTACTCATTCATGACGCAAGTACAAGAATAGAAATGACTTGTTAGATATATTTGTCTAGTAATTGATTTAGTACTGCCATAATTCTCTCAGTCATTTTGAGTTTTATAGATTTTGTTTTTTGAAATAAATTGCTACTACTTGACAATTTGTATCAAAGTGCATTTGGGACATTAATCTGCAGATTTTGTTCTTTCGACAGGGTAATATTGACTTGAGCTAATGAATCAGTTAATGGAACACAAATGGGATGTCTGAAAAAGCCGCCAGATTTCAACATAATGAAAAAAATCAATTTCAGACGATGAAAAAACATAACTGCACGTAAACATCAAACCCAAACTTATAAAGACATATGACTGTTGCAGCAAAATGGCACACTTCAACTAGGGATGCACCGATCTAGCACTGGAATCAGATATCAGCGTATATTGGGAGATTTGCTGTATCAGATATCAGCTTCCAGATATTGCTTCAGACAATATCCTGGTTTGACATATAAATTCATGTAATAAGACTACAGTATTTACTGGTCATAGTCAGCCCAAAAAGTCTCATAAGGTTTGAATTTTTATTTATACAAAGCTGTTTAGTAGTTACTTGAAAGGGCCCATATTATGCTATTTTCTGGTCTATGTTATAATGTTATTGTGTTATGTCATGTTTTGTTTCATTAACACATTAACACAGAAACCCTGCATATTTTCCACCTTGTGATGTCGGGGTAATACATGATGTGCGCCACTGTGTTTTTAAACATTGCCAATCTCTACTAAACAAAGGTAAAAGGTAGCTGTTAGCTTGAAAACTACTGCTTCATGACATCACAAGGTGGAACAGAGCATTTTGAACTTTGGATGAAGACAGATTAAGAATTTTCAGACATGTGAGAACAAATCAAAACAACTTCAAGCATGTTTCTGATGAAGTATCAACATTCTAACATGGCTAAAAGCTCATGAGAGTCAGTTTTAAGGTAATATGGCACCTTGAAGGATAAATACCTACATAACACATTTGGATCAGTTTTGTCTTATGTTAATTCTGTTTAAAGCATACTTTAAAAAGGCGAATACTTAAAGCTATAGTATCGAAATCTACTGTATATTGGAAGTGAAAAAGCCGTATCGGTGCATCCCCAACTTAAACACAACAAAACAAACCACCACACAGTAGTAATGACCAAATGAACAAGGTGAAAGTTGCAATGCAAATCAGTTGCTACTATAAAAAGTTACTATACCATGTGCCTGAGCATTGTTGGCAAAAAGAAAGACACAAAGATGCAAATTTTTACACTTTTTTTTTTTACACTACCTGAATGCTTTCGTCATACGCATGAACAATGAGTCAGTAAGGCAGGCTGCATGTAAACTAAAGACAAGCCTTGACATTTAGTGCAGGTTTTCAGGTTTTAGGGTGTGGCAGATTTAACACTGTTTTGAGTACACTTACCGACAGCCAGCATGCCACTCTCCAGATCTCCAGACATCTCACGGACTATACTCTTCTCAATGTCCCTGCCACTCATGCGCTGGTACTCCATAAATACTACAAAACACACAAAAATATTATGTTTTGTTCATGTTCATGGCCTTCTAGTATTTGAAGTCATAATTTCAGATAGAAAGGAGAGGCCTATATAACTCTATCCTGTTTTTGAAAGAAATATCCAAAATAAAAATCCAGAAATATTTGTTAAAATTATTTGTTAGGGACTGACAACAATTTTGTCTTTCTGAAGATATTGTGAAACAAATTATATCACATTGGAAATCACAAGGATAGGCCCAGTAATTACAGACATACTGACCATAAACTAGGTCAATGAATCTGAAATCTGACAGTTAAAACAGCAAATTCTACTACAGACTTCTGACCTCTAGCTCAGTTTTCAGAGTCTACCATCACATTTTTACTTGTACATATACATTTTATAATTATGCCTTATTTGACACCAGTCTCTTGCCATTTTTGCTACTTATTTAGAATTAATTTAATTAATTTATTTACTTATTGTGATGTGTGAGCTACTGTGTGTAGCTTTAAAAAGAGCTTCGTTCCGGCTGCTATTGTACTTATGAATAAATTGTAATCTATTTATCTAAGATTGTGTGTTTTTAACATATTTAAGATATATCTATTGTGATTTTAGCCAAGCGTGATGATTTTAATTGGTTGTTTATGGAACAAACCATTCTGCACTGGAGCACTGTAACATTTTATTTTGTAATTGTGATTTTATGTGTGTTTTGTGGATGGATGAAATGTGAAAAGTGGAACCTGTCTCTCAAATCTGCAAAGCAAATTTACCTACAGGTACGAATAAAGCAACCTAACCCTAACCCTGTGTCCCAATAATTTGCCTTGTGGATTAATAGTTTGTATAAGTCTAAGTCTCAGTCTCAGTCTAAGTCTAAGTATCACATGAATACAGCCTATGACATGTTGAACCATAATAGGGATTGGCACTACAAACCTGTGTTATTAAATGTATGTCTTTCAACTATCAACAATGGCTATCTGATTGAAAAATAATACCACCACTATTTTAAGCTATAGTGAAAACAAATTTGTTTCACTTTCATTTACTTGTGCTAAAATAATGTAGATAGACCTGGTAATGACAATGACATTAGCCAATAACCAGGACAAAACTAAATATATTCATCTGGCCTCCATTTTAAAATACCCTATACGCAGTTATAAATGTATTTATATAGCTACTACTTTGCCTAATTTGTTACTATCTTGAAAACTGTAATTTGAAAGTGAAAGTACCTGCTCGAAGATGGGTCTTACTCCTTGCACATAAAATAGCATTAAATTTAGATTCGTCAGTGCCCAGCTTCATCTCTCCAGCAGCATACAGCGCCTATAGGAATTGAAAATATTATGTCATCAATATTCACCAGTACTATAATGCTGTGAATACAAAGTTAAAGGGGTTAAAGGGCCCATATTATGCTATTTTCTGATCTATGTCATAAAGTTGTTTTGTTTCATTCACAAATAACTCTACACATATAAGCTGAGTTCTTCTCTCGAACAGAAAACAGTCTGTTCCATCTTTTGATATGTTTTTAAACACTAATACACAGAATAATTTTGATACTTTCATCCATGGAATTTCCAATCTCTACAGAACCAAAGGTAACTCTTAAATTAAAAACTACCTAACTACTAACATGATAGCACAAGGAGGAACAGAGCAATGAGATTTGGAGATGTACACCAGCTAATCATAAAGGCTTACTCAAATACGTGTGAATGAAACAAAACACAACTCCAGGTATGTTTCTATGATCTACCAACATTCTAATCTGTCTTAAAACTCACAGGAGTCAATTTTGCGTAATATAAGATCTTTAACTTACCTGAGCATCTTGTTGGGCCAGAGACATATCCACATGTTCTCTTTCATCACGGTTGCCCTAGTTTTCACATAAAAGCAATCAAAAGTAAGTCAGTGAATAACAATGACAGATAAATATAATGGCGGGACTCGAATGTGATACCTGTGAAAGAGAAACCAGCAGTCGTCTGAAGTGTCCAGATGTGTCGCTGCTGATCGCATCCTCCATACTCTTTTTATATTCTGTAAAACAAACCATAAAAATGTCAATATAAAATGGTGAATATAAAAGTCATTAGCTAAGATTTATTGGCTCTAAGGGTATACTTGGCAAATAAATGTCAATTATACATTGTTAAATTTGAGGAAAAAATACATTATACTGAGACTTATGGTTAAGATTTCAAATGGCATATTCTGTGCCAACAACCTCTCTGACCATCACTAATCATCTCATCATGCTTACATGCACATATAGAAGACCTTCCAGCAGGGGTGTAAGCCCCAGATTTTGGGCACTGGGTACAACTCATCTTTGTGATCCCTCATGATATGCTGTCTAATGAAGAATGCGTATTACACACTTTCTGAGGGCTCCTTTCTGCACTGGACCCTGGGTAAACAATGCCCCTCCCTCCCAGAGGAAATACTTTCAGGGAATGAACCAGCCAAAGCAAGAGAGCGCAGTAAGAGTGAGGCCTTTCCTGATGTATTCAGCTGGATCCCCTGACCCTACCTGGCTAGACCTCCTGTCAAACTGCACTGAGACCTTGGACTGAGACATAAAGGGAACTGAGAAGCACAGTGGAAAAATTGCAGCAAAATTTGAATTTCCCACAGCATATAAGTATCTCTCTGTCTCTCTCTAAGACAAAACTAATCCAAATGTGTGATATAGCTCTTATTTATCTCAAGTAACTACGGAATAACTTTGTGTACATAAAAATTCAACAATGTATATGTCCAACTAGGATATTGGCTGAACCCAAGCCAGTATCCAGTCCAGCAATTGTTTTCAGTATCGGCGTGATTTCTGGTGCCAGTATCAGATCAGTGAATCCCTAGTAATATATTTTTAAGAGGAAACATGGCTGCAATTCCGTTTTCCCCTCTGACTACCAATCGTCCCATCATACTTTGAAATTCATACAGGCAAACTAAGTGAAGTGTCTTGATCAAAAACACAACAATAGTCAATCCTTTCTATGAGAAGGCACAAACTGATGTTTATTTCATAGTTACACACTGCCCCTCACTTACCTAATTATTACTGTATCATATGTAAAAAGCAAAACTATTTTTACATCCATCTGACTTCTCTTTCTATTTATTTCAGATAGTTACTCACTGCCCCTTGTGATGTCGAATTGATCTCATTCTAATAGCTCACGAAAATACCGTATGACACAAAAAAAAAGCAGAACAATCTTGATATCTAACTTCCCTTTCTTCTACCATTCACAACTGTGCGTTTTTATGAAGCAGTCCCCTCACTCAATCATTAACAGAGCTGTGATAACATTGCTAAAGGACACACATAGCTGAGACTGCATTATTGCTGCCTCCACCACAGGCATCTCACCTTCTTTGTAAACACGGCTTATCTCTTTAATTTCAGCGTTTGAGCGGGAGGAGAGGATTTCGATCAGGCAGGCTTCATCAGTTCCAGCACCCTGTCAACACAACACACCAATGATTACTGTGTACACTGGTGGGATTGTAGTACACTGTATGTAGCAATCTGAAGTTATAGGAAAGTATAATTCATCATTTGATATTTGTCCAGCAGCTGTGTTTGATAACTGATATTTGTAGATAGAAATATAAAGATTATTAATACACAACAAGGGCCACAAATTTCCATTTTAGTATACAAACATGTCACTTTTGTAAATTTGTATTTATCTGGAATATAAAACAGCCAATGGACAAACTGCAATGTAAATAGACACATAGAGATTGGATCAAATATCAGCAAATTTTCAATATGGGACTTTTTGGGGAAAAAAGAAAAAAGAAAAATTTACAGCATGGCTATTGTGTACAGACACACCTAGATGCTTTGTAGGAATATTGAAACACAGAAATGATAAACACATATGGACTTTAAAAACACAAGAAAGCCATTTTTCCCAATTACTCAACTGCTTACTTACTTACAGAGTTGCAATTTTGTGTTTTTATTATTATTTGACTGCAGTCTGGTGATGGTGTATGTGCTCAAAACCTGCATAGGGCATTTCTGAGTGCTCAGAAAAAACTATTTTGGATTTATGAAGGAAAATACAACTCCAGTTATATTTTTGATGAGGGAGCATCATTATAACATGGTTAAAAAGTCAAAAAAGTACATTTTTCATAACGTGTTCTTTAAAGCCCTTCATGAACATGGATGGGTATTTTTGAGCTGTGAAATTAAAACACTGTTACAGCATTAGCATTATAATACCCCCTCTAACTCACTTTAATAGCACTGTTGATTTCGTAGGCATCTAACTGGGTTGGGGTCTTCATCATGGCCATCACCAGCTTCCGGAAGTCTCCTGACAGCTCCGAGTGCAGATCCTTAATCAGATCCTGAAAGGGAAAACATGTTCGGAATACCACAGAAGCATCATTAACCTCTGCTGTGAGGAGCAGGCACCACAGAGCTCCGCATTGCAGCTATAACAAGCTATGTGGCCATTCAACCCCCCACTTCATTTTACTGCCAAATCCTGCACCTGTTGTCTGCTGGTGTTGTTATGATGCCATTTTTCAGACTAAGTTAGTAGTGAGTGGATCCTAGTTAAAACATATGGACTTCAAAGTGTTACCTTTCCATAGGCAGTTTTAAAGGCTTTAAGGCAGGCCACACGCTGTCTGGCAGAGCGACTGCCCAGTAAGTCAATAATGGCTTGCTCATCAGTTCCTGTAATAACAATGGAAAGGTAAATATTAACACCAAATACTTAAATTCTATTCACAACAACTATGTGTTTTTTAAATATATAAATAATGGATTGTTGAAGATTTATACATTATTAAAACATACAGTTAAACTTGTAAACTCACCAAAGCCCTTCATGGCCTTCCTGAGGACCTCCACATCTTTGAGAGGGTCAGCTCCAGGATAGTCCTTGATTGTTCCCCTAAATCCTTTCTAAATAAACAAAACAAAACACAACATGTATTACTTAATTTAACAAACAAATATTATGAATAATTATAAACAACTAATAATACAATTTTAAAATGGCACACTATTACGTACGCAGGTTATTTTCTTACTGATATCACAAGTTTCTAGTTGCTGTATAAGGAAAGCAGCGAAGGCCACAGAAAGGTTCTTATGTTTAATAAAGGATCCAGAGCTCCACACACAGAGCTCTGCCTCTAATGCTACAACAAAGAGAATAAATCACAGGAGCTGATGGATTTTATACATACTGGTAAACAAAGGGTGTGTTGTAAGGTAATAAAAGGCTCATGATACAAAGGGAACACATTAGTGATGACGTAACTATGACCATTCAATTTACATCAAGAGCAGATGAAGATTAAAACAAAAGTATATTTTATATCTTTACGTATTGCTGATATACATTTTACATATGAGTACATAATGGCCTTTTGTCTACTCTGTGGTTTTCACACATACATGTTCTGAGTGCAGCCCTCATGCAACACTGCAGCTGTTTCCTCTGTAATACAGCTCTACATAAAATACGGTCACCAAGACAGTGGTGCATGCACCTCATATGCACTAGCCTCACTACAACTCACCCTAATCAACCCACTAACCCCAAACCCGAAAAAAATCATACCACCACTTACATTGACTTTTGGTACGACTGGCATGGCCCCTCCTCCATAACCTGGCATTGGGTTAGGTGATGGGGCCTTGGGGTACCCAGGCGTAGGTGCTGGTGCTCCTCCAAAGCCGGGCATGGTTGGGTTGGGTGAAGGCCCTTGAGGGTATCCTGGCATGGGCTGCCCTGGTCCAGCGGGGTAGTTCATGCCTGGTGCCTGAGGCTGGGGTGCTCCTGGCTGTGGGTACAGGCCACATGACTGTTGGTTAGGAGGGTAGGAGGCACCATAGCCCCCCATATGTGGGGCTGCAGGGTACCCCCCAGTGGTTGGAAGAGCAGGATAGAGCACCCCAGGTGGGGTCTGGTTGGCCTGTGATGTGGAAAGATTAGAATCCAATAATATGCTCACAGATTTTAGTTTTTTACATCAAGCACAAAGCAGGATGCACCTTTTTTGGATTTTAATCATTACTATGAAATTATGTTTGCAGACTGAGGTACGTGTATAGTTTTAGATTGATTGCAGATTGTGTTTGTTAACACAATACTGAAATAATATCCAAATAAAGTGCATTTATTATTATGAAAATTGATTACTACAAATGGACAACATTGACTAGACACAAAGCAACAAGAGGTGATAAGAGTTGGATAAAACCGAAGAATAATGTGTTGATGTACTGGCTCATGCAAAGAGATGGATAGGTAAGGCTGGCAGCACAAAGGGAATACTAAGGACTGTAGAGACGGCTTTGGAAAAGTCTTACCGTGACCTGGACATGTTAACTCCCTTTAATGATTCAATAAATTATGTTGACTGTAATATTTAATGTAATAATCTTATTACAATGTTTGTGTTTTTGAAGAGGCCTGACGGACATAAAAACGTACCATTCCAGGATACCCAGGGTTGGTCATGCCGCCAAGACCAATAGACGGATAACCTCCAGTGGGACCGCCTCCCCAAGTGCCTGTCACAGAAAAGAGCCTCTAAGTAACAAGTAAGTAAAGTAAATTGAGTAAACAGAGTAAACAAAGGGGCCAGGGCCTGACAAGGGTTTGACTGTTTTAAACAGAACGGAGTCATGCTTGCCATAGCAATTGCTGATGAAGTTAGCATTTAGACATTCTGTCGACTGAGAGTCACACGATCTAGAAGAATCATGTATTTTGTCAATTTGTCAACCCAAAACATAAATGCCCTGGACCAAACAATGCAAGCCAATGTATTTATAATATGGCCTGGGCTGTTGTCTGTGCAGTAAAATGATGACGTTACCAGGGGGAGGAGCTGGTGGGAAGCCTCCAGGCTGAGTGGGGAATCCTCCAGGTGCAGGAGGGTAGGCTCCAGGCTGTGGAGGGTAGCCCCCGGCCCCAGGCTGAGGGGGGTAGCCCCCGGCCTGAGGAGGGTATGCTGGGTAACCTCCTGCCTGAGGGTAGGCTCCGGGCTGGGGGGGATAGGACCCGGGCTGTGGGAGGTATGCTCCAGGCTGTGGTGGGTATGCTCCCTGAGGGGGGTATCCTCCTCCCTGGGGGGGGTATCCAGGATAGCTCATAATCTAAAAGACAGGAACAGTTTAGTCAGACTGCTGTCAGTCAGCAGAACACAGGTAACATGATGCCAACATACTTCAGTAAAACAAGACTCTATGTTGCTACTTCAGCGTCAAGGTTGATGTTTATAAAACAAAATGCGGCACATTATATTTCAGTCCTTGAAACATATATGTATGCGATCTTAGATTGCTAAACAGACAAAACTAACATTGTTCGGTCAAAATAAGGTAGACTTATATTTACTTTAACTTAAGTTAGTCATAGAAACATATCATAAAAACAAATTCCAATGCAAGTGGATGGCAGACTTTTTATAGCAAACCACTTGGGAATGAGGAAACTTTCTGGCAGCCTTAATAACACTATGCAAAGTTTGAGGTCCACTTGTTCCATGGTAAAACTGACTGTACTGGACTCCTCCTCCACTGTTCATTTGAAGAAAACCAAATACAGAAAGCTACAGGGTTTTTTTTTCTTTTTTAAAACAGTTCATTATTAAAATAGCAGCTCCATTGTTATAATGTGTATTCTATGTGGAATAAGCATGTATTCTATGTGGAATAAGCATGTCCCTACATGTATGGGCTATATTGCTGCATGTACTAGTACATTAAAAAAATGCCTGAATCCGGAAGTACGGTTTTCCAAGCGCTTTTACGCAAAAATTCCGCTTAGTGACATACGAGTAATTGCGCAATATAATCAATAAATTGACACAAAAGCCAATGTTTATTCTGTCGTGACTGAACCAGTGGAATACATTTCCCAGAATTAGAGACACCTAGTAGTCGTGGAGAAAGATAGCTAGCTCAAGTTTACGCAGCGCACAGGCCTGTACAAAAACTGGATAACTTACTGTAAAAACGACTTCTAATAGCTATTTAGGAAAAGTTAGAATTCATCAAGAATTCACATTCACAGAACAGTCACAGAGCAGAAAAGGTTTGCATTAACAGAAGCCTCGGGGGACTAGGGGGGTATATTTTTAGCTTTACGCTAAAGGACTGAAGGCTAGAGCCGTGGGTATCACGGTGACTGAAAACTTTAACCTTAACAAGAATCTTTACAATGCAGTTCCTATTCTAATGTCGCTTGTTTTCGCATCTTAGCACGGAAGAAAGCGTTCGTTGAAATAATTGGAGTTACTTACTTGGATTGGTTAGATTCTTCCTGAAGTGCGTCGCGCAGTCTTGTCTACTGCGTAAGTGTATTTAAGAGAAGTGGGTGGGACTCGGAGTTTCCATTCGGAGCACCCACCCATTTGTCCGTCACACAGGACTGACAGGCAACAACCATGTGGCAACAGCCGTAAACAATGTGGAATCACACTCTATTCACCTGAACACACACTCGCTTTTCAGGTATGAAGGTTTATGAATGAGCGAATGGAAACATGGAAATATGGAAACAAGCGGTCATTATACTGCAGACGTGACGCCATCATAAAGCTATAGCCTATATAGATATAGCCTATGTTATGAGCTTTTATCAATGAAAGAAGGCACTCTTGGACACTTCATTTATGACTATATTTGTCAATTATTATACGAATAGTGCTGATTACACATGCGTAACTTACTATAGATTCCCATCACTTTGGAAAGACCATGAGACTAATGGAAACATCACCTTTCTCAAATTCAGTTTTTTCTTTTTAAATTTTCTTTCTTTTTTTTTTTTTTTTTTTCATTTGCTACCATTGTAAAAAATATTGAAATATTTAGGAGCCTGGTACCTGGAAAGAAAAATACAGGGTGAGTCAACATGGATCATTTTTTCCATTCATTACACATCTGAGTAAAATAAAAATAACAACAAACAAAAAAAAACTAAACAAAACTAAACAAAAAAACAGGTTTATCTGGTTGTCTGTGTCATCGCAACAGTGTCAACGTAATAAAGTGGTGTTCCAACCGGCCACAAGAGGGAGCCCCCGCTAAAGTCTTCCCTCGTAGTGAGTCGAGTGTGGCTGCCCCCTGTGGGCTGTTCCACGTGGGTCTGGATCCTGTAGTGAAGTTTGCCCATTTGTCCAGCACTTTATGTGTGTGGACATAACAGGGCAAAGCATGTGTGAGAATGTCATGGAAACACCCTGTTATCAGACATACAGTAAATGACACTGTCTATAGGCAGGGCCCCTCACTGATAACAGGAGAGGCTCTCATAGACTCATTAATGCAACTCCCCCCTTGCTTATAAGACATGTTTTAAGTATGTAGGCCTGTATTTTGTTCTGCTAAGATGCTTTTGCTTATCTGAAAATAAGAACATTACACAATTGTTATTTACTTATTTCTTATGACTCCATTTAGCAAATTTTGTAGAGAGCTACTGACATAAAAACGACTTTGATCTCTATTAACAGCACTGTAAGGCAGCAACTAGGCCTAATAAAAGTTTAGATAGCTGTTTTTTATTCTAGTTTATGTAACCTAATGTTATAGGTTATCATAGTTTTAAGATTTAAAAAAAAAAAGTTTGACTATCATTAGAATTTACAGGTGCAGTATGTAACTTTTTGTTTGGGGATCTGTCACATGGTTTCTTCTATGGATATGTCATCGCTCCGCCTGGAATGTTCCACAGTATGACATTAAACTGCTCTACCTTACATTTATTCAATTACAGGTGGTTTTATAGCTAAAAATATCTAGTTAAACACGCATTCTGACTGTGAGTGCCGTTGTACCTCCACAGATCTGACTTATAAATTGGTCTGGTTTGGTCTCCGTTAAGATAGGCCTGCCAAATTGTGAAACATTCCAGACAAAGCAATACAGTTTCCATGGAGAAAAGCTTTTGATGGACCTTCAACCAGGAAAGTTATACAATGCACCCTTAAGGATCATAAAAAAAATAGAATAATGTATAAAAACTACATATAATACTCAAAACAGCTACATAGCTCTCTCGACATTTGCTTTTTGTTTGAATATGGCCAATTGTTAATGTAAAGTAGTACCACATTACAGTTGGTGTTTGTGGTGGCGGCCCTACCCACCTTTTGGTCTTTGATTGAGTCTGCGCTGAATAATCTGGCCTGTCACTCAGCCTAACGTGCGCCGTGACGCAAAGACGCACTCATTACATATTCAAAGACGCTCTCTCTCTGCCCCGCTGCAATAAAGGCAGATAACGGGGCATGGGGCGCAGGGAAAGTTTTCATACTGACATGTTAGCGCGATGACTTGCGAGTAACATCTGATTGGGACGAGGCTCCCGGCGTGCGGCGGAAGAACCAGGGGGACGTGCCATTTGCCGGGACAGGGACCCGCACCGTACGGAACCTCAACAAGACCGCGAGAGAGAGTTGAGACGAGTCCAAGAAGCAGCGGAGGGAAATCTCGTGTGTCCATCTGAATGAAAAGATGAGCTTGTTGTCTGCCATCGACACGAGCGCCTCCGTGTACCAGCCCGCGCAGCTGCTCAACTGGGTGTATCTGTCCCTGCAGGAGCCGCACCAGACCAGCGCGTTCGACGCCTTCAGACCCGAGCCCAACTCTTCCCACTCGGATCTCAACTTCAGCAAGACTCCCGCGGCGGCCGACCTCAGCTCCCCGCTCAACTCCAACTATCTCAACAACTTCTTCCAGCTGCAGCGGAACGAGGTGAAATATGGCGTGGTCAAATATTCACTTTTTACGCACTGTCACTGTCGCAGAGTTTTGCAGTGAAGTTCTGGTTAATTCTGGCGTCCATGTGTGTCCACGACAAATGTTCTTCTTGCATGTGGCTATTCCTGTAGGATACACAACCGCCATGATATTCCACAACATGGATAAATCCGTGCAAGTTTACTAATATTAGCGTTAAAGTCAGTGCACACATAGAATGGACCTGTAAGGTAATAAATACAGTTAAGTTCTGCAAGAAACACAGGCGTCATTCCCAAAGGGGCAAGTGGGGCACGGACCCCTCTATTTGGCTACTCAAAAAATATTCTAAGATGTAACAGAATGTTTTTACAGTAAAGTTGACAATGGACAAACCCACATTATTTTTGACAATCCAAAAAATATTAAGAAAATATTTGGATTGATAAGTATGGTGGTTATAGTTGTATTCAGTTCAACAGGAGCTGCCCTATTTCACTGTTTTTCAATCTTTTTTTGAGTTGTGGCAGACTTAAGATGTTGAAAAGATGCAAATCCATCCATCCACTAAAACATTACACCAATTTTAGCTACAAAAAAAGTGTAATTAATATCTGTCTCATTGTGTCTGGCTCTAGGAATTTTTGTGTTTTTAATATATTTTCTAGTTTGAAAGTTTGATTCAAAATGGCAGATTATTACCATGAATAATTTGTGGAATTAGTTAACTAAAATTTGACTTTTTTACAAAGCACATCGTTGATCAGGGTACATTAGCCTGGCCCGATGGTTGAAAATCACTGACTTATTTCATTGGTTATTACAAGCTTTAATTAGGTTCTTCTGTTCTAATCTAACGACAGTAGTCTACCCAAAAAACTAGTGAGACAATGTATAACTATCTGTTCTACAATAGCAGATGTTGTCATAAAAGTACATCATGTCTAGTGTATGTGAATTTATGAGCGCATCTGTATTGTGCAGGCCATGTGTGAAATATGAGGGTGGATAAACCCATGTGTCGCTGGTAAAGTAGTTTGTGACAGTTTGAGTCTGAAGAATGGAAACTGAAGAGACACTATCCATCTCAAGAGAACAGATAGTCCGATATGACTTGAAGTCATGACTGGACCAATTTTTTACTTAAATAAAACACAGAAAACAATATGCAGGCTATTATGAAAATATGTTACGTTTTTACTACAGTAGTATTGGCAAATTGTTAATAAGCAACAAGTAATTTCTTCCAACATCAAGGGATTTGTGGTCCAATTAACATCCATTTTTGTTATTTTGGTTAAGGTTACTATCTTGATACAGCACATTTAAGTACTTAAAGGTTCACTGTGTAACTTTTCTGGTGGAGGGTCCGTTAAATGCTTTTCACTTTGGACATGTTATTGCTGTGTCTGGAATGTTTCACCGTATGAGATTAAACCTTTCTATTATTGTGGAGACCAAACCAGGCCAAGTTACAGGTCAGATCTGTAGGGAGGAAACCTCGCTCAGTCAGAATGCCTGTTTTTTTTTAGATAGATGTGAGATAGATGGACTGTTTTGTGAATCTGAGACTTAATTTCATGTACCACCCACATCATGGATGGCTTGCAGCTAGCATCCGAAACATGTTAACAAAGTAAATACATCTTCTACTAATTTGTCTTTAAAAAGAACCACCAAAAGTTGCCACCAATGATGTTTCCTGAAGTTGGTGATGGCTGAAAATAAGTCATGTAATAATTACCAGATCACTGTGGAAAGAACATATTTGAAGTAGTGAAAATAGCTCATAAAAGTGTTATTTGGTTAAGACCTTGTATAATGAGACAAATTAAAACAATATGTAAACAAGCTGGATTGTTGCCATTGGCCAGTTTCCATTTCCCCTTCACCACCCCCTTCCTTCTCCTCATTCACTCACAACACTCATTCATACACCAGAGTACAAGGCAAGTGTCTTGCTCGAGAATAATACAGCACTCCCTCATGACGGCAAGGATCTAACGAGCAGCCAACAAACAAAAAGTACAAACTCTCCATTCTGGGCAGATAACTTAAACTGAACTTTCAAATATTTAACCCATGACATTAGATACATTAGACAGTACATTAGATTCAATAATGCATTAAGACTTTAATCAAATTTAATCAAGTTCAAGTTTAATCAAAACATACTATATACTCTGAGTTGCTGTAGTAACTTTTTGCAGTGGATCTATCTATATTGCTGTGGAAATATAGTGAATAGTTATTTGTAGGGATGAGACGAGACACAATTTCCACAAGATGAGATGAGATACGAGATAGGGGCCACGAGAACGAGTAAAGACAAGATTTTAACGTGGTTCCTTGTATATAAATTTCACTATTAATTTTCCAATTTTGGCCTCACCATTTTTTATTTATTTGTTTTCATATTTTTTTTTTCCATTCTAGTGCTGCTTTTCAAAACTGTAAGAGATGTAATTTATGAACGCGTAACCCTTTTTCATCCAAACCAACTGTAAACACTTGGAAAAAAATCTCATGAGATCATTTTTCTCATATGTGCACAATCTTGTGGCAGTTTTGTCTTGCAAGATCGTGTGGCATAAGATCTTGTACCATCCCTAGTTATTTGTGAATTAAATCAAAACTAGGGCCCAGCCCATATATGACACAATCACAGTCTCAATTTTCATTTAATTGATGCAAATTTTGAGGCATCCAGGAAAGAGATATTATCAACGAGTTAAACTAAACTGACTGGACTCGATTTTCAGTAATATATTTTTTTCTCATTTAAAGCAAATTATAGTAATTTCCTGAACATAGACAGGACAGACTTTTGATTATTGACATTGAAAAAAATAAAAGAATTCTTCCTCCAAAGTCTGATCTCTGCTCCAAAGCACATGTTTAACAGACAGAATTGGCTGCAGACCTCTCCATTACAAAGCAGTGGTGGGTGAGGTGCTCTATTTTGTCACTTAAGTAAAAGTACAGATACCAGAGCAAATAAATACTGAAGTTCATGTAAAAGTACCACTTGGAAAAATCTACTTAATTTAAAGTATTAAAGCACCCATTTAAAAATGTCCTTAATGAGTATAAAGTAAAAGCAATTTGTGCAGATTTAGAGATATAATAAGTGGAGAATTTTGATCAACAGAAACAATTAAATTTATAGTTTTTCCTAACAATTTTTATTTGCATATTTTTGTTTACTGATGCTTGCAAATGTGTTAAAAATACACTCCTCGGTCTTATATAAATATAGTGGAAGAGAAAATACAGATACCTGTTCTCAAAAAGTATCCTCTTGAAAATGTACTGAACTAAAGTACAGATACCCAAAATGCAAAGTACTGTACATAATTGCTTTTACTAAGTTACGTTCAACCACTGTTAAAAAGACCCAAGCTGATTATTGATTATTACAAATGCCTTCTCAAACTCAATAAAAATTTGATTAACTGTACAGCCTTTCACATTTCACATAGGAGTATTATCAATATACATTCATTGAAATACAGCAGTGAAAAACCTTGTATGTACCCCAACATAACCATAGTCACTGTAGCAACTGTGGCCTCTCCAAATAGCCTACACAAAATCAGGCCCTGCTGTTTACATGTTCCCTATTTTTACAGCCCAATGTAATTTTAGGGTGTAACATGCTGATAATGTATACTGGGCGCAAACTTGATCCTACAGGCTTATGTGTTTACAGTGACCCTGCACATTGTCCCACACAACAGTATAGCCTAGGCAACCCTCGCAATGAATACTTTGAAGAAATAATGGCCTAATAAAGGAGATGCGGTAAAGTTCCCAGTATCTTGATTACATTGCTTGTGTTTAGATTTGTCTAGATATGTGTTGCCAGGTTGTGGTAACATTATCCTGTATGGGTAGTGCCTTAGCGTTCAAGCTTACAGTATCATTGAGGTAACAGTAGATAGTAACAGTAGTAGATGAAGGGGAAAAAAATATATCTTTTTTTTTTTTTTTTTTCTTATTTGAGGTCACTTAAAGGAGTGTTGTGTAACTTTACTGGTAGAGGGTGCGTCAAATGCTTTTCTCCACCTTTCTATCTTCATGGAGACCAAACCAGATCAAGTTACAGGTCAGATCTGTGGAGAGGCAACCCTGCTCATAGTCAGAAAGCATGTTTTTCTGGGTAATTTTTTGAGCAATAAAACCACCTGTAATTGAAAAAATGTAAGGTAGAACTGTTTAATGTTATACTGTGGAACATTCCAGGCAGAGCAGTGACTTATCCATAGAAACAACCAAAAAGTTAAACTGCACCTTTAAAGGCCCAATGTGTAACCTTAGAAACATAGAAAAACTTGCTTGCATCTCCACAAACTCATATTCGGCTTGCAAGAAGTCATTCTCCTAATTGTTTCCAAGGAAATGTTGTTAATTTGGCTATAATCTTCTTGTCAGGCTGGCACCACCTAGTGCCTCCACTCAGTTTCATTTCTCTTCAGCGACTAGGTCAGGCATCAAAATACAATAGACGGTTCGCAAAAACCCTGGAAGTGCAAGTTCGGGCACCAGCCAATCAGGGAAGAGCCATATATTCAGCGATATTGTCAACGATTCTCAAGATTGAGGATTAAAGCCAGAATAAATAGAATGTTTGCTGAATTTCATCAAGGAGAAAGACGTAATGCCCTTCTTCCTACGGGATTTGGGAAAAGCTTTATATACCAGTTAGCCTTGTTTGCGGTGCATTACATACGTCATGAACAAACAGCAGCGATTGGTTAAATGATAAAAAGCACCTGCCTACCGTTGAGCGAACAAATTCTAACACTGTGAGGTCAGACAGTTTCTACGAAGTGAAGCCGGCTGAAGAATCAGGCTGTGTAGAAACAACCAAAAAGGTACACTGCACCTTTAAAGGCCCAATGTGTAACCTTAGAAACATAGAAAAACATGCCTAATTCCTGTGAGCGTGCTTGCATCTCCACAAACTCGTATTTGGCCTGCAAGAAGTCCTTCTCCTGCTTGTTTCCATGGAA